TCAACAGATATCAGGGCATATTATGTTCTCAGGATGCAGTTTGTGGAATAAAACACACTCTTTTCTCAAGGAGTGAAGACAAATCAATCTATCTATCTATCTATCTATCTATCTATCTATCTATCTATCTATCTATCTATATCTAATATGCCAAGTGTCTGACCGGCAGGGTAATGATGTCATGTAGCAATGTCCAGCTTCCTTTCCCTAGCAACTAGCCTCCTTGGAGTTTCTTCAGCCCAGGAATAGGACTTGCTTTATAGCCACGTGGAAACATTTCGCACTATAACTAAATGTCTGTGAAGCATTTTCACTGACAGTCTTCCATGCACTTAGAATAAAACCCAAGTCATCTCATTTGATCCTCACAGAAGTCCTGCAGTAGGTAGTAGATGACCCATTTTCTTTCATTAGTCAGAAAATGGGGACTTAGAAAGCTTAGAAACTTGACCCGACTGAAAAGAAGAAATGGTGGACCTTGAAAATGACGTCAGGTTTTCTCACTGAGCAGAATACAAACACTGCTGCAGTTAAATATTTTACCCTTCGTTCTCCCTGCGTGATCTACAATAATAATCTGCTTCATGTTGATATTTACTGCTGAATTTGTTGCAGACAATTACCTGAAAGAGAAGTTGGTGTGCTTCATTGGGCTGGGAAAAGTTTAGCTAAATCAGAAAGCAGGTCTAGCCGAAACTGGTTTGGCTTAGTGGCTAGAGTGTTGGCCTGCAGACTGAAAGGTCCTGGGTTCGATTCCGGTCAAGGGCATGTACATTGGTTTCGGGCACATCCCCAATAGGGGATGTGCAGGAGGCAGCTGATCAATGTTTCTTATCGATGTTTCTGACTCTATCCCTCTCTCTTCCTCTCTAAAAAAATCAATAAAATATTAAAAAAATGCAATCTATTAAAAAAAAGAAAAGAAAGCAGGTCTAATTAAGCAGGTCTAATTAAGCAAGTTTTCCCTATAGCTATAAAAGGCTAAGTTGACTCACACATGCACAATACATATAAAGCCCTTACTGGTGCCAATCGCATGCATGTGTCTCCATCTGTCATTGTCAACTGTGAATTTGGTTGACACTTCTATTATAAAGGGTGAACAGCGATACTAAAGTATTTATCCTAATTAATTTCCTTTCAATGTGCACGGATTCATGCACCAGCCCACTAGTAAATAGATAATTATAATAGTTTCAGTGAAATGATACAAGGAACATTCAAGCTATTTTGGGCACATAAAGGAGGGGCATTTGCCTGGCACTGTGGTGGTGGGTGGGGGCACGACAAGGAGGTGGCCATAGAATGTGGGAGCTGATCGTTAACAGTTGAATTGGAATTGTAGGCACCAAGTTACTATCTAACCCCACAGCTCTGCATTATTAAACCTGAAGGGCAGTTCTTGCCTCCTCCAAGGAAATTCTGCCGGAAGTCTTCCCTCACTTTGACTTCGTCGCCTCTTAGTGCCGTGGCTTTCCTAACTGTAAAAAGAGGGGCTGCTACTATGTTTCCTTATCACACCCTTGGCGTGACGGAACTCACATCCAACTTGTAAAAGCATCTCCCTGGGAGCAGGTTGGCTTGGGCAACGAATGTGTAAACCCTGAAGTTTTTCCAGTCTCCACGGGAAATTCAGCTTGAATCCAAAACCAGGTGCTCTGCATATGTCAGCCTCTCACTAAGCATTCTTAAGCCACTCCTGTGGTTCTCTCGGGTTGCTGAGTTTATCAATAGTGCAACAGCACGTCCCTCGTGGCTTTGTTGTGAGCTGTCACTACACAGCTAGCCCACAGGAGGCCTACATAGACTGCGGCAATTATTTCAGGAAGTAGCAGGGCCAATTGACCTGCACAGGGAAGCCACTGAGGAGAGTCCCAAGTGTGACCATGCTGGTGAGAAAAGGGTGTAAAACTGAAAGTTTTCATGTTGCAGGTTATGACTATTTTAGTGTGAAACGGAAAAGTCCCCATTTACCCTCTTCACATGCCCTCTCTAGCGTGATCACATGGCCTTGGATGGTCTGTTTCAGGGGTGCCATCTCCCTGGTTGGCTGTCTACCCATTCTCACACCTGTCAACAGTCCCTTTGCCAAAACCCTTCCAGAAAAATCTTTTACACATCCCTTTCCTGCTGATACTGTGACAGCTGGGATTGAGACGAGACAGGAGAGCAGTCTGTCCAGTTCATGCAAGAGGTCCAGAGGGGCCTGTGCTGTCCCTCGAAGGCCCTTCTGGAAGGTAACCAAGGGTGTGTGTGTGTGAAGTGATTCTTTTGGTTGATTCTTGGATGTGCCCCGACTAGGGACTGAACCCACAATCTTGGCATTATCAGATGACACTATAACCAGCAGGGCTACCTGGCCAGGGCCTTGCAGATCTAATATTTGATTGGTTCTCCTTTATAACTTCTATTTCTTTGTTGAGATTTTTCCATTTCTTTGCTGAAACTATTTTTTCCCCCCATTTGTTTCAAACGTGTTCATCATTGCTTGCTGAAGCTTTACCATGGGTACTTTAAAATCTTTGTCAGATAATTCTAATATCGCTGTCATCTCAATCTTTGCATCTATTGTCTTAAAATTCAGTTTGAGATCTTCCTAGTTCTTGGTATGATTATATTTTTAAAAGTTGTAACTCATTAGGGGGAATGAACATTTCTGTGTGTTTTTCTCTGAGACTGCTTTGGCAGGGAAGGAGGGAGGGGACTTCATGCTTCCAGGTGGAAGGGGAATTTTAGATTCCCTACTTAATCTCCACTGAAACCCAAGGGAAGGTGAGCTCTCTACTGCTGGTGGATTGCAGCTCTCCTCATGGTCTCCTCTAATGTGATGGGTGTTACTCCATTACTGCTGGGTAACGGAGAAAGTCCTAACTCTCCAGTAGGTCTGATACTACCCTGTGGGAAAGCAGGGGGAAGTAGATATCCAGGTTCCTTACTGACACCATGGAGGGGGAGGAGAGCTTGTTACCGGCTGGTGGGATGGAAATCATGGTTCCCTACTTTGCCTTTTGATACCACCCTGGCAGGGGCGTGGGGGTGACTGCTTTCATCGGAGTACCCCTCTGGGAACTGCTTTTGTCCGAAGTTGGTAACTTCACCCTAGGTCTCTGCCCCTTTTAGTCTGGCTATTTTTTAATAGGATACACATCTCTGCAGAGCCATCCTAGCTTGAGCTTGTGGGATTGACTGGGATCTTTGTTGATATCAGCTCAACTACTCTAGCTATACAATCCTGCTTCCTTCATTCCTGCACTGGTGTTGATCCAAACTCCTCCCAATAAACTTCCTGCATACAAATCTCCAACTCAATCTGTTTCACCAGGACTTCACCCTATGGCAAGTATTTAAACACTGAGATTGATTGTGTGGAATGTTGTGCCTATTGCTCAGTTTCAGAGCACTTCATGATGTGGGAAGATGCTGTGTTAAATGAGCTTTCCATTTCAATGACAATAGGGATGGGGATCAGAGAAATGGCAAAGTCCAAACAATACCTGTGCTCCATGCGGGTTATTGGAGTCCTGGCAAGTGTGAGGTTGGGTAGTTAATCAGTGCAACTAGTGGATAAAAGTGAACCTAAGTGCTTAACTGGCTCAAAAAGGATGACAGAAACCAAGCTCTGGATTTCTGGTAAGGATAGCTTTGTCAATGGTCCCATCTCTAGCCACCTGAATTGTAACATTGTATTTGTTAACAGTTGGGTATTTTTCCTACTAATGGACCTTGAACTTAAGCAGAACTACTTCCTTCATCTCTTAACAAGTCACCTATTCTGTAATTACCTAACAACCAACCCCTATCTTAACTTTGGTCTGGAAACCAAGATATTTTCATTTTCAAAATCTTAGGAATTGGTTCAAAAACAACACAGCAGGTTTTTTTTTTTCGTTTTTTTTTTTTCTTTCATCCCATCTTTATTTTCACCAACATTTACTCTTAGGCTTTAATTCAGATTGCCTTAGAAAAGTAGAATCCATTATGTTTACTCATATTGATGATTTTATCAAAATACCTAATAGGAATAAGTTTTTGTGTGTGTTTTCTTATTCCTCACGGAGGATTTTTTTTCCTATTGAATTTTAGAAAAAGTAGGAAGACAAAAAGGAAGAGGGAGAGAGGGGGGGAAAAGGGAAGGACAGAAGGAGAGGGGGAAAGAAACACTGATGTGAGAGAGACACATTGATAGGTTGCCTCCCGCACACATAGCCCGATGCTCTAGCCGTTGAGACAAGGTGAAAGTTATTTTTTTAATATATTGATTTCAGAGAGGAAGGAAGAGGGAAGAGATAAATAGAAACATCAATGATGAGAACCATTGATCAGCTGCCTCCTGCATGTCCCCCTTGGGGATCGAGCCTGCAACCTAAGCATGTGCCCTTGACCAGAATGAAACCTGGAACCCTTCAGTCCAGACTGACGTTCTCTCCACTGAGCCAAACCTGCTAGGGCGAGAGTAAATTTTAAGACTAAAGATGAATCAGTTTGTTGAGTAATTTGCCTACAGCAACTGTGAGGTGTGGTCTGCAAATGTATTTTCTTCCTTTTTAGCAGCAAACTCCAGTGGCTCAAGAGGACACACCGTGTGGATGTCCTGTCCCCAGACTACTCAAGCTCAGTAAACACCTAAAAAGAACACAACCTCTTTCTTTCTGAGGCATAAATGTTCAATTTGGATGATGATAGGCAAGCACTAAAGACAATGGCTAGCTCTTCCATTTATTCCAACGGAGGAAGAGGAAATAGGATCTAGGCTGTTTTTGATCTATGAACATTTACCTTATCATATCTACAACTTGGTATTTCTTGAGCAGGACTGTCCCAATAAGGCGAGAGGTGATATAGTCGAAGATGGAGATGACAAATATGCAGAATTCAACATACATATGCAGGTTAGTCTGATGTCCCCTTATGGTCTCAAATTCCATGTCTGGTCAGAGGTGGCTCATCTCTGCTCCACTGTGCCTCAGATTCTGCTTCCCCACTTCTGAGGGAGAGCAGGTTCAGATCGTCTGGGAGCTGGTGGGGGCTGCTTCCTTGGCAGCTTGCTGGGCCAACCAGCGCTTGTATCTTTTTGTCTTAGGCTTCTCAAAGTTCACCACAGACATAGGGACCCTGATGGTGTCCAGCCCATTTACCTGCATACAAAACAATAGGAATCCCAGAGATCAGCTGGACAGGGAATAGCTACCACTACCCAATCCCAGCTTTTCACCAAGTCAGAAAAGGAGGCAGTATGTAAAATACTCACCGTCACCTCACACCAATACTCGCCCCAGCATGTGATGGGCCCTTCTGGTAGCTTTAATGCATGTGGGGCCACCACAACACCGAGCTGGGGAAAAATCACAGAAAAAGGAGCTGTTTACATGTCTGCCATTATAGGCAACCTCATAAACAGAGCTCCAGGATTTCCTGTATAGTTATCCTGGCTGATCCCACAGGGGGGCGGAGAAACTCAGGCCTCATTTCTCAGAAAGAGGCGGATTCACAAAGAGAACTACAGACTAAAAATACAATGAAAAATTTCCAGTGAAGTCATATTTTCTCAGGTTTTCCTTAGCTAGAGAGGAAATAAATGCCATATTTTCTTATCTGTTTCAATTCTATGTGACCAACCTTAGTCCTTAGCCATTTCCCTTCCATACTCCTGCAAACTAGCCAAGAACACTGTCCCTAACTCAGTGGTTGGCAAACACATTAGTCAAAAGAGCCAAATATCAACAGTACAACAATTGAAATTTCTTTTGAGAGCCAAATTAAAAAAAAATTTTTTTTATTTTAAAAATATATTTTATTGATTATAGACAGAAACATCGATGAGAAACATTGACCAGCTGCCTCCTGCACACCCCCCACTGGGGATGTGCCCACAACCAATGTACATGTCCTTGACTGGAATCGAACCTGGGACCCTTCAGTCCACAGGCTGACGCTCTATCCACTGAGCCAAACTTGTTTTGGCAAGAGTAAAATTTTTAAAACTAAAACTACTTCTAACGCCACTCCTTCAAAATAGACTCGCCCAGGCCATGGTATTTTGTGGAAGAGCCACACTCAAGTGGCCAAAGAGCCGCATGTGGCTCGAGAGCCGCAGTTTGCCGTCCACTGCCCTAACTCTAGCTGGACTCACACCTGTTTCTAACAAAAGCTCAATCCCAGGCTTTCTTCCCATAGGTAGCTCCACTCTTAGGGAATAGTACTGTTTGGGAACACTCACGTTTTTTAGAAAATGGCGGGCAACTATTTCCGGGTTTAGCTCCCATTTGACATTGTTCTTCATCCCCACTTCCAGGTGACAGCTTTTCAGAAATTTCACCGTCTGAGAGGAAGTATAAACAGAGGCTACATTAGAGTTAGAAACGTTAGCAAGAGGCACAAGGTCTGAGAGCTCAGGAAAAGAGCACAATTTCTGCCTCACAGTCAGCCAAGACAGGTGAGATAAATGGAAAGAACATTCTCGTCCCGAGGCTGATGCTGTGGAAAGATGCTTTTGTGACACTTTGGAGGAGAATGTACTCCTTATCTGGTTGTCCCTAATCAAGTGGCCATGTTTTGTCATCAATAGGGGCCACTTACCATGCCCAAGTGGCTCGGTTGGTTGGACCATGTCCCATAAACCAAAAAGTTTTGGATTCAGTTTCTGGTCAGGACACACATAACTGGGCTGAGAGTGGGATCCCTGACCAGTCAGGGAATGTATAGGAGGCAACCAATTAATGTTTCTCTCTCACATCAACGTTTCTCTCTCTCCCCCTTCCTAAGACAAACAATATATACTCAGGTGAGGATTAAAAAAAAAGGGAGCCACTGGTATATCTCAGGATGAGATGACTTTCATAGGCTGTATTATCCAATGCTTCTAGCCCTTCAATCCCACTTATATCCCATTAATGATTCCTTCTTGCTTACAGAATGAAATATAAATTCACTAGCGGAGGATTCAAGATGTTTTTTTTCTAAATCCTGTCTCAACCCCCTCTCCAGCCATATGTTTCCTAATACCCAAGTCCTCTGCTTTAGCTAAACTAGTCTACTTTCTATGCTAAAGCTGCTTTAACTATCTTCTATTCTTTTCCCTTTAGAATACACCCTTCTGAAGCGAAATAAGCCAGTCAGAAATAAACATCACATGATCTCAACTCATATGTGGATCCTAATGAACAAAATAAACTGATGAACAAAATAGATCCAGACACACAGAAGCATAGAAGACCGACGAATTCCAGAGGGAAGGTGGTGGCGGGAGAGATGAACTGGGGAACTTACATGCACATACACAGAGTGCACAGACACAGGCAATAGTGTGGTAAAGGCCTGGGAGGAGTGGGTTCGGGGTGAAGGAAGAAGGGGGAATATCTCTAATACTTTCCATAATAAAGATTAAAAAGAAAAAGAACAAAGATGGTGGCATATGTAACGCCAGTACTTGCAGTCTCTCACAACTACATCAAAATTGTAACTCAAATACAGAACAACCATCATGCAGAACCACTGTAAAGCTGCTGAATGGAAATCCTACAACTAGAGAAAGAAGAAAGCACATTGGTAGCAGGGGTGGGGATGCAGGATGGGCTGGCCCGACACCCACCTGTACCGTGTTTTTTTCAATGGGGGAGGGGGGTAGACTGTCTCTATGGAGGCAGCCTGTGAGGAGCCACACCAGGCCCCCAACCTGGGGTTCCAGAATTGGGAAGATAAATCCCTGCAACTAAGCTGGTTGTAGAAACCAGCAGGGACTGTGGCTGAGGGACAAGGAGGCTGCTGGAGACCCAGGTGCTCCCCTTAAAGGACTTGCACACAAGCTTACACGGTCCCACTTCTGAGTTTCAGGCTGGGGAACCCAGACACATGGGTGGAGGAATTGAATTGCCTGGCATCAGGGCAGGAACTCAGGAGTGGAGCAGGGACGGAGCTTTCTGCCAGGCAAGAGTATTCACAGGGATCCTTGTTCTGATGCTGGGACCCGCCCTGTCCGAGGGCTGACAGGCAGTCATAGCTGAGTCTCCGTGAGCCTGGAACACTGCTCCACCCTGGGGATTCCCTGAGACCCTGCCCCATCCAATTTGCAGCCCCACGCAAGCTTTTTGCAGCAGCTTTTCCATATGAATAGGCCGGTCCTGGCTCAGGCTTCAGACTTTGCTAAAATCCAACAAGCCTCAGCTGGTGACAGAGTGCCCCAAACCTGTCCATAAAAGACCCACGATCTGGCACTAGTAACCGCCTGCCTTGCTTCACAGCCAGGCCTTGCCTGGGCACCTCCAAGCCCGTTAAGACAGCAAATGGCAGCTGCCTGCAGCTCCCTTTGTAGCTCCTGCCCTACCTGGCTGTGGGAGGCTGACTTTGCACCTCCCTGGAGGTCCTAGAGCTAGTGCGCCAGGTGGACAGCTTTAGACCACAGCAGATGACAACTCTATACACCCACAAGGGCACACACTGCACCAAAGCATCACTGAGCAAGTCCCGCTCCACAGGGCTGTTTCCTGCGTCGCAGCTCTCCCACTGTAGTCACAGCTGGTCCTCACAGCCAATTGGCCTGGTGGTCAATTCCCCCTTTCCCTACCTGGTGTCTGCAATCAAGAGAGTTCAAGGAAATCAAGAAACCACTCAAGAAGAGGTTGTCGACTCCTGAGATGATCAACAAATAAAGACTTTCTGTGTTTCTACTCATCGCCTCACCAACAACAATCAAGGCTCAACTATAAGACTGTGCACACGGCCCACACAGGGGTGCGCCTAGTGCCCAGCTCAGGAGAGTGGGGAGGCTGAACCACTAGGCCTTCCAGGACACCTACTACACAAGGCCACTCTGCCAATTCCAGGAGACACAACAGATCTACCTACACAGAAACACCGGGAAGCAGCCAAGAGGGGGAAACAAAGAAACACGTCACAAATGAAAGCAAGCAAACTACTGACTACAGAGTTCAAAACCATGGTTATAAAGTTACTCAAAGATCTTCATGAGACTTTCAAGGATCTTAGTGAGAATGTCAAAGACATGAAAAAGGACCAGTCAGAAATTAAGCATACACTAACTGAAATAAAGAATAATTTGCAAGGATAGTCTTTAAAAAGAGATAAAAAAAAATTAATAAAATGGCAACAAATACATAACAACTGAATCTAAAAATCAAAATAAATGAACAAGAAATCTAATGAACAAAATAAACTGGTGAATAAAATAGTGTCAGAGGCAGGGACGCATGGAACAGACTGACGAATCTCAAAGGGAAAGGGGGAAGGGGTGCTGGAAGAGATTAACCAAAGATCTTACCTATGGACATAGACAGGGTGAAGGCCTGGGGTGGGTGGAAACCAGGTGGAGGGGGCAATCGGGAGGGGGAATGGGGACATCTGCAATACTCTCAACAATAAAGATTAAAAAAAAAAAAAAAAAAAGAATACCCCCCTGGCCTATTCAAATCCTATTAATCCCACAAGGTCAAATTCAATCCATCTGGACAAAAGCCTTCTCTAATCACCTGAGTCCATTTTGGTCCCTGTCACGCTTATAATTTACTGTCTTAAGTTTATTGATTACTTTTGCACGTGTTTATGTTCTTCCAACTTGTCTGTAAATATCACCGAGCAGAGCTTTCATCTCACACTCTTTCACGCTGGGACCTCACTCAGTAAGCTAGGGCACTTCACTCAGAAGGCCAGGGTTTCCCAGGTCTCCACACCAGTAATGGCAGCCACAACACTTCCCCCTTTCCCTACCTGGTGTCTACAATCAAGAGAGTTCAAGGAAATCAAGAAACCACTTAAGAAGAGGTTGGTGACTCCTGCAGATAATCAACAAATAAAGACTTTCTGTGTTTCTACTCACCGCCTCACCAGCCTTGGTCTGGATCTTTTCTAATTTTCCTTCTTTTCTTAGCTAGAAAAGAAAGATGGAGAAAAAAAAAAAAAAAAAAGTGAGTCCATAGTAAATAATAACAAATTCTTACTATGAGAGGCATTGGCTGGATTTCTGGTCCAGTCACTATTTCATTTTCAAATTAAATATAAAAGGGACAGAAGTTGCTAGAGGAAATCTTAAGGTTTTAGCCCCCGCTCTGCCTTTCTTCGAGCTCACCAATTTCTCCTCTTCAAACGACTTCCTGTTTTCAGGGGAGGCATATACAGCCAGTCCTTGGGGAAGAAGCTTGTTGCGGCCCACAGACTTCTTCACTGAGACCAAGTCACCCCGGACGCCGAGCTCTGCCAAAGCGAACAGACCCTGGGTCAGAACCAGCCAGGGGTCCCTAAAGGGAAGGGGGTGACCAAAGAAAAAAGCGCCTCTTATTCTCTCAGTTCTTATTCTTCCTCGAAGAATGTTAACATTCACCAGGAACATTTAAAAGGCTTCTCATTAGTTAGGGTCTATTGAGAAGCCTGATAGTCTCCATACAAAGTGAAGCGTTGCCCAGTCACAGGAATTCAGTATCTGCTGCTCACAGGCCTCCCGCCTCTTGCCCCCCGCGCCCCACACTCACAAATGCTCCTGCGTTCCTGTTCCACTTTCCACACCGGAGGCCCACATCTCAATCACAGCATTTTTTTATGCCTTTCTCTTCTCAATCGGAGAGTTGCTCTTCCCCACAAAGTAGGAAAGGGCAGGAAAACGTTGATGCCAAACAGGCCCGGCCCGTTAGCGGCACCTGTGCCCTCGCCTTACCCTCCACCGACTGCGTGAGGATGAGCTCCAGGTTCTCCTTGGGCCGGTGCTTCGTGTCCTCCACCAGCCGGTAGACGCGGTGCCGCCGGTGCAGGCGCGGCTTCCGACCCTCCCCGGCCAGCGGCACCTTCCACCAGCGCTCGACGATGACCGTGCCCTGGCGGCCGGAGAGCGGGTGAGCGAGCGTCCGCCGAGGGGCCCTCCGTCCCCGCTCCGTCCGCCCCTCCAGGCCCCACCGAAGTCAAGGACCCCGGAACCCAGACCCGGCCCTCACCCGGCTGTGAGAGAGGCTGAAGCCGCGCCGCGGGCCGGGGGCGCACCCTTCGAGCTGCGGCCGGAGCAGCGCCCCGACTCGTCCTCGCAGCAGCTGCTCGGCGGCCACGCGCAGCAGAGCCCGGCCGGGGAGCGCCATGTTCCCGGCGCGGAGGGGGCCGGGAGGCGGCCGCGCCTGCGCGAGGAAGGCCCCCGCGGGTGCCCGCGGCGCGCCTGAGGCGGCGGGATTGCTCCCGGCGGGGCCGGCGGGCAGGCGCTGCGCGGGGCGGGTCTCTGCTTCCCGGCGCAGCCGCCGCCGCAGCCGCGGGAGCAGAGAACCGGCTGACGCTCCGCGACTCGGCGTCGATCCCTCCCGCCTCCCTGCCTCTTTCCGGGGCGGGACGCCCACTGCACTGACAGACAGGAAAGGACACTCTCCCCCCGGGTTTCCGCTGGCTCTCTGAAGTCACTGCCAACCTGCCGGCCTGAAGGCTCCCCCGCTCTCACTTTCCCTTACTTGACAGCCACCTAAAGGTGGAGCAAGGATGGATTTGTCTGGGAAACTATGCCAGCCCAGGAATGGTATAACTTGTGATCTTTACAACGGCAGTATGTAAGCTAATATTTAAAGCATTCTCAATCATAAGGGAGCTACGCCCGAGAAAAACTAAACTATGACAAGGCCCAGACGGTTCTATGCAGGGCCCCAGGACTGGGTAAAGGAATGAATGGGGTTTGGCAGAGGAGATTATGGAAAGATGCTCTATGCTCCTTTCCTTCCTGCTTCCCAGTTTTCCTCAGTCTCCTTTGTTGATTTCTCCTTTCTCCCTTCTTAGAGCGCCCCTGTCTCTGGATACTCTTCTCAATATACACTTCGGACCATCTCATTCAGTCTTATGGGTTATAGTGACTTCCTATCTCCATCCTAGACTTCTAAGCTCTAGCCTTCAATATCCAACTGCTTATTTATCATCTCTCCTTACATGTCTAATGGACTATTCAAAGCTAACATGCTCCAAACTAAGCCAATCTCTAGCCTCCTGCCCCAAACTCTCACCTGGAGCCTTCCCATCTCAGTTGATGGAAACTCCCTTCTTCCAGTTCTGGGTCCCAGCTTCTTTCTCTCATACTCCAGGAAATCCTGTGGGTTCTAGTTACAAAATCCGACCACTTCACACCTTCTCCAAGGCTTCACCCTGGAATTAGACACCCTCCTGAATAACTGCATCGGTCTCCTGACAAATCTCCCTTTAATGCTCTACCGTTTACATGAGCCACGATCTTTTGAGAACGTAAGACAGATCATGTCCCTCTTCCAGCCAAAACTTTGAAATTACTTCCCCCTTTACTCAAGTGAAAAAGTCCAGGTGACGGTCTGATAGCTCTATGACCTCATCTCCCTCTATTCCCCCTACAGCTTGCACTGCTCTCCTCACAGTAACCTCCTTGCTATTTCTTGAAAATAGGGTTTTTTTTTTTGTACTGTTGTTGTGTAGGCATGGCATGCTCTTACCTCCAGGGTTGGCTTAGCTAACTCCCTCCACCGCCTTCACATCTTTGTCATCTTTCCAATGAGGCCCACGTGGATCACCCTATTTATTACCGCAACCTGTCCCACCCCTTCACACGCCTGCCCTTCTTTATCCTGCTCTATTTTTTCTTCATTGCATATTCTCTTCTAACATATTAAAGGGCTTTCTTATGCTTATTACTTAGGTTTGTTCTCTCAGTGTTAGAAGATACGTTCCATAGGTCAGGGATCTCTATTTACCGATAAATCCCAGGCACCTGAAATAGTGCCTGGCTCACAGAAGGCCCTCAATAAATATTTGTTGAATAGATGAGGTCTCAAACTGATGGCTCCAGAACTTAATTTTAACTCACAATGTTGCTTTAAAACAACATGTCTTGAGTTGGTAGTATTTAAAAAAAATTCAATTTACCACAAAAAGATGTCCAGTTTCTGTTGAAAAATCATACAGTCTGGTACCACAGAATCTGCATTTCTGCATGGCAACTGCGGGGCAGAGTGGAGTTGTGTTGACTTCTGAGAGACGGGGTGAGCTCTCCATTTTGCTACAGCCTCACCCAGGAGCTCCACTAATTCCCTAGCTGTCCAGAGCCCTGGAGACATTTAGTTTGCAATTCCTACAAGGCAATTAGAAAGTTCAAAAAATGTGTCGAACCAGCTTTGTTAAAGGCAGGGATAATAATGAGAACATTGAATTGATAGGAACCAACCAATCAGGTCAGACCCTGGATAAGGATCTTGGGAGCCTCTTCCAGTGTCAGACAGTAAGCCTCAGTTGCTGAATTTTAGGGGAAGTGGTATGTGTGTTGGGGCCGGGGACAGGTTGTGAAGTGCACACTTGGCTAAAGGGAAAGGGTGGGGCAGGGGAGCAGCAGGGAGAGTCCTGAAGTGACATAAGGGCTGACTCCTTGTGCATGTCATAGTGCCCATCAGGTCACAATGGTGCCAGTTTGCCTAAATCTTTGTCACCCACGTCTGGACCTCACTTTGCCACAGGGAGGCACTGAACCGAGAAACTGCCTTGTAACAGGTGGCGCCCCTCCCTTTACTCCCTTTCTTATATCAAGAGGGGAAAAACACGGAACTACTACTACCCAATCTGGTCACCATACGCCTATTACTTCTACTGTTACAAATACCGGATCACCCTCCGGGAGAAGATGCTGCCTTCGTCTAGAAGGTACTTGTTTTCATCTCTTCTTGTAATAGTTTATATAAATGGTAAGGGAAATACAAAATAATTTGGAAGAACTTCTCAAGTGGCAAGAGATGATAACAGCAAAATAGGGTGGAAGGCTGCCGTGGGACTTTAGAACTTTTCCAGCTGAGCCGAAACCGGTTTGGCTCAGTGGATAGAGCATCGGTCTGGGGACTGAAAGGTCCTAGGTTCGGTTCCAGTCAAGGGCATGTGCATTGGTTGCAGGCACATCTCCGGTAGGGGGTGTGCGGGAGGTAGCTGGTCGATGTTCTCTCTCATCGATGTTTCTAGCTCTCTATCCCTCTCTCTTCCGCTCTGTAAAAAATCAATAAAATATATTAAAAAAAAAAAAAGGAACTTTTCCAGCTGGGCTGACCTGGGAAAATGAAAATAGGCTCGTCTAGGGAAGATACAGAAGACAGTGCCAGAGCCTGGTCCTGTGTCCCTAGAAGTTAGGACCCTCTCCCCACCTTAGACTAAGAGGTAAACTAATTTGGGCCTCTTTTTCCCAACCAGCATCACTTATAAGGAACAGGAGGACTTGACACTCCGGCCCCGTTCCTGCCTTCAGTGTTCCTGATTCCCCAGCAGGCCTCCAGATGGGCAGAAGCACCAAGCAGAGTGACCAAGACCAGCTGAAGGAACTCTACTCAGTAAGCGGAGTGTGAGCTGGTGTCAGGCAGCCCCGTGCCTATTGGAACGATACCTTGTAGAGAAGGAACATTAGGAAGAGCTAGATGAGACCTCAAAGCTCATGTGTAAAAACGGCTTGCTTTATAGATGATTCTGCCTAGAGATCTTAAGGTGGTAGTGAAAAGCAGGATGGGAGAAGAGTAGGTGGGAACCAAGAGCAGAATGTATTGAGATTTACAGGACATAAGGCTGTTCAGATGCTTACTTGGACTAGAACCCAGAACTCCTGCACTTCTATCGTTTTGCAATAATATGCTGTGTGTGATGTTTGCATTTTAGATGAGAAATGGGAGAAATTACAGAAAACCTAGATGATGGGAAAAAGTGGAAGAGTATTATCAGTAAGGCAGTAAACAGATGAGACAGCTCTGTTGCTGGTGTATCTCAGTGGTTGAGCACTGACCAGCATGGTCACAGTTCTATTCCAGCCAGGGCACATTTGGGTTGTGGGCTCGATTCCCAGTAGGGAACGTGCAGGAGGCAGCCGATTAATGATTCTCTCTCATCATTGATATTTCTCTCTCTCCCTCTCTGAAATCAATGAAATTTTTATATATATTAAGCTCTCTGATGTGAATGGCAGTTTCTAAAGGAAGAGTGCATCCTGAGGTGAGGGTAGCAGGCAGCAATCCTGCAATCAGATGTTTGCTATCAAGAACAACTCCATGACAGGGATGGATTTAGATCCTAGGTCTAAGATCTATATTGTCAAATACGACCTTTGCTCCAACTCTCCCAGGCTCTCCATTAGCCCTTCCTTGCTTCCTCAGACACCCAAATCGGCCCGAGACCTGATATGTGAGGACTAGAAGCACACAAAAGCAGGGGACTATTCATCTCATTTGTATTCCTTTTCCAGGAGGGGAATCTGACAGTGCTGGCTACTGATGCCCTGCTCCACCAGGACCCACTGCAGTTAGATTTCCATTTCCGCCTCACCCCCCAGACCTCTGTCCATTGGCACGGCCTTCTCTGTGACCGTCAGCTTTTCCTGGATATCCCATATCGGGCCTTGGATCAAGGCAACCAGAAGAGGTGACTTTGCCTGGATGATAGCGAGGGGGGAAGGACAGGAGTTGGGGTTTCATTTTATCATGTCATCATCAGGTACTGGGTATATTAGCCAATGAGGGCTGCATTTGGGAGCTGAATACTTTCAAACCAATGAACCTGGCATGCAGATGGCCTGTGACTGGCCTGGATCTGGAGTTCAAGGGATAACAACCCATGGGAGGTTGCTGGCTCAGAGTGAGAAACACAGAAGTGAGAATCCATAAACAGTTGAACAGGATGTGCTTTCCAGCTGTTGACTTTATAGTTGCTTTGCCCGAGACGCCACCCATGGCATGGATTCAGTATCATAGTGTACAATCCCTTGGCTTAGGAGAAAAAGCTATAAAACTAGTTTAGCAACTTTCATTTCTTGGCTTGGGTTAGCAAAAACTGACCAATGAGATTTCTTTTGGGTTCCGAGTTTGCTAAACATTTCCATTAACCATGTTTCTCCCTGGCTCCTAGTTTGACTGCAACACTGGAGTATGTGGAAGAGAAGACCAATGTGGATTCCGTGTTCGTAAACTTCCAAAACGACCGGAATGACAGAGGTGGAGATCTGCTCTGTCCTTGGCCCTTGGTGCTGAAGCAGCTAACAGTGACTTTTCCTTTTTTAAGAGACCCTCTTCCCCCCCCCCCAAAGGAAATGAAAGTATCTAGCATTCTGTTCAAGTTACAGGTCTATTAGGAAGTCCCTGCAGATAGATCTCAGAAGCCAGACTAAAGGACCACTGGTGAAACTAGTCAGAATCCATTCAAGGGATGTGGCTGGTAGGACAGAAAGGATATTAAATGTATTAAGCACCAACAGTATGAAAGGTCGGGCATAAGACCAGGATAGGAATATAACCAGATGCTTGGAGCACATGTTACAGAAACTACCACCTCTTCCCTCAAGGACTTTATACTCTTATAGTTGAGACAAAGGATGGGCAAGAGTTTATAATACCATAATTGTGTTAGGCACTTCATAAGCATCTTGTTTAATCTTTCTTTTTCCCCCATGGGAATTTACTGTTTATTTTATTGAGTTTAGAGAGAGAGAAGGAAGAGGGAGAGAGGAGAAACATCAACTGGGGATCAAGCCTACAACCAGTATATTCCCCTGATTGGAAACTGAACCTGTGACCTTTCAGTACACAGGACAGCACTCCAACTAACTGAGCCACACAGGCCAGGACCATCTTATTTAATCTTAAATCCTGTGAAGAAAGTTCTATAGTCCTCATTTTGCAAACGAGAAAAAAGTTCAGAAGGGTTAATTTGTGAAATGTCACAAAGTAAATGTTAAAGCCAGGGTTTTAGTCTTAAGTCCGTTTGAGTCCAAAGCACATCATTCTAATACCTGCACTATACTCTCTCCCCACCTATATTCCTTAACTGAAAAAACAAACAAAAAAACAAAACAGAAATCTGGGGGAACAGTGGTATTGATTGAGTTTGAGTTTTCTAATTTGTTCTCTCCTGTCACAGGTGCCCTGCTTCGGGCCTTCAGCTACATGGGCTTTGAGCTGGTCAGACCGGGTCACCCTGCGCTTCCTCCCTGGGACAATACCATCTTTATGGTGTATCCCCTTGAAAGGGATCTGGGCCACCTGCCCAGTAAGACTCCCTGAACATGCTTATTCATACTCTGTGAGGGGCTGGGGGCCTTGATAAGTGGGACCAGGACGTGATTCTGGACACCTCCTTGTATCCTAGAAATAAAGGATAGTGCAATCCTCCAAGTGCACTGTTTCTTGGTGGAAAGTTGGGGTTGGCTGGAGTGGAGCATGGGCCTTACAGAGCTGAATGAATTCACTGTAGGAGAAACACTCAATGACTGAAAAGATCAGAGGGAGCTGAACAGAAAGGAAAGGGACACAAGGATTTTAGGTTCCTTTTGCCTTCCCCTCACCCCAAAGCCATTTCCCCATTTATTCAACCATTTACTGAATAGCTGTCAGGAGCAAGAACCAAGCCATATTGGGAGATTTTCATTCATATATTTCAGTTCAAATTGGAGACGTGCTAGTTCCTTCTCTTTGAATGTGGAGATGAGAGGAGGCACATGGGTTCCATGGCTTTCACTCAGGGAATTGCAGCAGAAAAAAATAAGAAATAGGAAGCATAGGCATTCCGGGTAGCAGGAAAAGTACAGGCTTGTGTTGGAAGACTAAGGAACACATCAGAATGGGATGTAAACTGACAAGGCTTAAGGGCCATGTAAAAGAACACACTTTTATACACAGCAGCAAATGCAGCTAGGAATGAGACACTACTCATTTTCCACGGCAAGAAGTCCTATGAATGATTTATGTTAGGGGTCCTTTCTATTTAACAGTGAAGGCTGAGGAGCTGAGAAAACTAGGGACTCAGTGACCTCATGACCTTGTAGAGTGGTTCCAATTCCAGGGCTAAGCCAAGGTCTGAAAGGTCAGTGGTAGCCCTGTGTTGAATATTCTGAAACTACTCATAAGAGCTGCTCCTTCACAGGAATGCCTCTGCTAAGTGGCACTGAAATTTAAAAAAAATATATTTTTATTGATTTCAGAGAGGAGGGGAGTTGGAGAGACAGAAACATCAATGATGAGAATCAAAGATTGGCTACGTCCTGCATGTTGTCGTCTCTACACTTATTGGGGATTGAGGCCACAACCTGGGCATGTGCCCTGGACTGGGAATTGAACTCAGCCCTTTACAGTCAACAGGCCAATGTTCTGTCCACTGAGCTAAACTGACCAGGGCAAGCACTAAGATTTTTGAGAAAATTTTTGGAAATTGTGGCTATGGGAAAATAGAATTGCCATGTAATATATGGGTAGACCTAGCTCACTAATTCCTAGATTTTAAATTTTTTTCATAGGAGAAGAGGAAGAAAGAGGGATAGAGATGGAAACATCGACTGGAGAGAGATAATGGTCAGCAGCCTCCTACAGACCCTCTACTGGGGATTGAGCCTACAACCCAGGCATGTGCCCTGACCAGGAATCGAACTGGGGACCTCTTGGTTTGTGGATCAGCACTCAACCATTGAGCCACACCAGCTGGGTACTAATTCCAAGATTCAAAAAAACCTGCACAAAGGCATCCTTATGTGCTATTTCAAGTTTTCAGTTTACTATGCTGATCCTTAAAAAAATGTTAATTTTCCATTATCCTACCACCCACATTACATTGATAATATTTACTTCAAGTACCTTCCTAGTTCTCATTGGATCCTGACAATACTGAGAGGAGAGAGGTCGTAGGGAAACTGGTTCCCTCGAGTCCAGAGATGTATTTCTAGAATCCTAATCCAGGTTTTTTTTCTTTCAAATACTTTAGGGTGGGGTCTTTTTTTTTTTTTTCTTACCCAGCCCAAATCTAAGTTGGATGTGGTAACTTGAGGGAAAGAATATGATGTATAGATGGAGGAACACTTGTTATAGATGGACCCCCTTTATGTAAGGTGTTCACAATTTTCACCAGTTTTAAGTTCAGAAGAGATACCCAAAGGCCTGTTTCCCTTGTGACTCAACCAGCATTTAGTTTTAGATAACTTTTTGATAACTTTATTCAGCAAAGAACCCCCCTCCCCCCAAAAAAAGCTTTGAAAAACTATACATGTTGTCTTTCTCTGGGTGTGTGCATACATAAATATATAATAGATACTATACTAGCAATTTAGAGTATTTCCTGAGCTGCCTCTCTTCTTGTTTATATTTTAACCAAAATATACAGGGAAAATAAAGAACTATTTCCAAAAAACCTGTCTCCAAAAAAATCAGCAGTTGAGGATGGGAGGCAGCATTCTTTTCTCAGTTCATGAGGATTTTTAATATAAATATGTTGATTTTTTCCTCTTTGCCTCCCGACTGAACTGCAGTCTTTGAGTTGGTTCATTAAAAAAACTTCCCTTGCCGAAATCGGTTTGGTTCAGTGGTAGAGCGTCAGTCTGCAGACTGAAAGGTCCCAGGTTCGATTTCGGTCAGGGGCATGTACATTGGTTGCGGGCACATCCCTGGTGGGGGTGTGTGCAGGAGGCAGCTGGTCGATGTTTCTCTCTCATCGATGTTTCTAGCTCTCTCTCTCCCTTCCTCTCTGTAAAAAAATAAATAAAATATATTAAAAAAAAACAACACACATACACAAAAAAAAACCTTCCTTTAACCAGAGTCACTCGAGGAGGTGAGTCAGAAGTATGCAGAACCACCACCTCCAATGACTAAACCCTGGCTACTTCCCAGCCTCACAAAGGACACAGCCTAGCAGGACTGTGCATTCTGACTGGGTGAGGGAACAGTCAGATGTTGAGCAGCCTGGACAAAATGCAGCAGCATTCAGACACTGGAAGGGTCTGGGTGGGGTGGAGAGTGGAGTAGGAACATATATTTGTCTCCTGCCCTACACTCTTTCTGGTCGTCCCAAGGAAGGAGAAAATGCATTTGGTCCACAGCAGGCCAGATTGTGTATTAATAATGGAAGAATTGCATAGATATCTTTATCATAGGCTCCTCTCTCCAGGTACCAAATCCTGCCAGAAACACAAAGACACAAAAAGCTTGAAAGGATTCAATCTGAGAGCAAGTTAAGCTACAGGAAAGTAGCTGCAGAGAACAGTGCTTAGCTAGGCTGTGGGGAAGAGAGACTAAAGCAAGGCCCCTGTTGGCCACCCTCATTACTTTTCCTGTTGCTACAGACAGATGATAGCTCCACTCACAAAGCAAAGCAGATGGCTGAGGCAGCTGAAGCAGACTTCAGATTATGTAGTCCTCTTCAAGGTTATCATCGCCAGACATAGAGGCAGCCTCTACACAGCAGGAATGAGGAGAAAGTTAGACACTGCCCTAATCCAACAGGCATCACCACTGAGGCTCAGGGATGCTCAATGACCCCCGTGGTTAAGGGACAAGCCTTTACAAGCTCCCTCGTTTGGAGAGACTGACTGAGAAGTGGTAGCTTCCAAAAACGCTCTAGGGAGCAAATGCTGCTTGTACCTGATAAGCTGAGGCAGGACAGGGTGTTTGCTATCTCTCCAGGGCTCCTCTTGCTCTCAGAGAACATGCTGCTGAGAGAGGCAGATGCTTCTGTGGCCTGAGAGGATGAAAACAAGAGAAAAAGGAAGACTGTTAGCTGGTGGGAAAGAAGCGGCCACTCAGTCACTTTGCTCATAGGGTCTGGTTCAGGTAGTTGAGCTTGGTTGCTGAGAGGGACAAAATGCCTCCTTCGACAACTTAGGAAAGCCCTCTACAAAATGTCATGCATGACTAGAAGCCCTCATGTTTCTCAAGGCACGAGCTTTGCCCCAAAGAAGCACCCTCAATGACTGCGATGGCTCACTCACCACATCGTGCAACATGCCTGGGACCGTTCTGTTTTCCTCCACGTCTTCAGGAAGCTCAATTGCATATCCCTTACGAACTAATTCTAACCCAATATCAAGTTTCTGAGAAGAAAAACGAAAAGGGAATCATGTTCTCTCTGTAAGGAAGGGCACATCTGAAGAAATGGGGCTAGGATTGATACTTGCAGGATCTTACAAAGTAGGAGCAACATCAGATAGGTTTTCTGGGAAAGAAAAAGTAAACAAATCTATAAATATACTAAAGCTAGTGAGCAATGAGTGAACCCCAATCTTACCTTCCCATTGCTAGTATCATATAAGTAGATCTTGGGCCAAGTTGAGACCCCAGTCTGGACATAGCTAGAGATCTTGGCCACCAAGGGCTTCCAGCCAGCACAGTGAGTAAGTCTGTCGAACTCATCCAAAGCTTCCTCTTCCCACTGTTCACCTGATAAAAGATTGTAGGGAGAGCCCAAGAAGGAGCCAGTGCTGACATGAGTAGGACTATACCTGGAGGGAAATTAGAACTACATCTTTCTGCTCTGGAAGGCACTTACGTCTGACTGCCAGGCAAGTTTCTGGCTGTTGCTTTCTAGTGCTGGTGAGGAAAAGACACTTGAGCCCCTTTAACTCAAAAAGCCTTGGAATGTGTGGATTCCTCCCATGTGCTGTATAAAATAATTCTATTTGGAGGAAAGGTCAGTAAGTGTTGTGACCAATTTACCTGAGGGGGCGATCTGCGCCAGACTACACTCAATTGCTTGAAATGGAAGGCTTAGGAAGTCACTCCTAAAGGGAAAGAGACTGAAATTAGACTTCTGGAGCCAGAGGGCCTGCTTATATTCCTTGCTTCTGGCCAACCCAGCAGGAGAAGATAATCTGTTCTATGTATACAGGTTCTCCCAAATCCCCCTGGTGATGAGTGCCAACAGCTAGCTCCCCACCCTATGGCCAGGGCTGAGCCAACAGCTGGCACTCCAGCTGGATTCTGCTCTGGCCTCCACACTGACCTGAGTGCCCTGAGGTCCCTCACTGGGCATTCTCCATTATCTCCAAAGTCAACAAAGTAGAGGTCCAAGTTCCCATTCTCCAAGGTGCCAAGGACCCGGGCTCGATACCAGGAACCATTTGTAGATAAAGGAGCTGCTACAATGTCTCCTACATGCACAGTTAAGTCTTCAGGCTATATGGGGATAAGGAGTCAAGAGGGAGTAGAGTTAGGAAGGGGTAGGCTTAAAAATAACGTCAAAAGGAAAAAAAGAACATGTAGTTGCTCTACAGGAAAAGGAAAAATATAAATACCACAATGAA